TTGAAGGTCAAATGTGACATGAAACAATATCTCCGAATCATACTCTATCAAAATATGAAAACAAATTGGGGTCACCTTGCATCCTAAAGAGCTACAATGGATTTTGTATAGGCATGTTTTTGCCCATATATGCTATGTATTACAAGAGCTCGCGCGCACCGAGATTTATGTTAAACGGTCGATCATTCCGTTATTAATAGTCATAAAGAGACAAACATGGTATCAATTTGTTTTTAAATATATGTGGAATATTATAAAAGAAAAAAAATGGTGATTCTATGTTATGTAATAGTTTTACGCGCGAAAACGCGCGCGCATGGGCGTGTGCGCGATTTTTTATAAAATGCTTAGAATGGCCTAAAACGTATGCAAAATGATTTTGAGACGATTTTGAGCATTTTAAAATTTTGCGCGCGCATTGACGCGCGGACGTACGGGCACGCGCGCATTATTTGAGCTGAAATTAACCGGACGGATATTGACCTTAATCATGATAAATATGAATGAGAATTACTTTTTGGTTATGAAGATATGATCATGAGTTGATTTTCGTAAAATTTTACAAAATGGCGCCTAGATGACGTCATCAGTGAAGGTCAATGTTGAAAACGTTATTGTGTTTCGTACATATGCCTATACATATGTGTGCCAAATTTCAAGGCATTTGATTGAGCCATTTTCGTGTTATTTTGTTCACAAAAAAGTGGTTAGAAATAAGAAAAATATTTAACTAGATTTGTAATACTTGTTTGGAACAAGTATAGGTGGGCTGATCCAACAAAAAATTGAGACAAAATAAAGGGTACATTTGAGATAGCTTTTTGTCTCATCTACAACATACTCGAAGTTCAGCGTAAACGAAGCTAAAACGACGTAGATATTGCTCGCGAAAGACGGGAATGTAGAATAGAGTTTTGAGAAAAAGTCATATCCCATAGAGAATACACGCAAAATGTAAAAAATTTACATGCCTCCTTTAATCGCAAAAATACGCCATGCCTTTGTCAAAATGAAAAATAATAGCAATTGCCTTTGTAGAGAATTGTCTCAGCTAGAACATATCAAAATTTGGAAGAAAATCAATCAATATTTACAGAGATACAATCAATTTTCCATAAATATGCTGACGTCATAATATGCAAATTGGAATTTTGAGTTCGGAGGCCATTGTGATGACGTCATGAGTTAATTGAGGGTCGAATGAGACATGAAACAATATCTCCGAATCATACTCTATTAAAATATGAAAACAAATTGGGGTCACCTTGCATCCTAAAGAGCTACAATGGATTTTGTATAGGCATGTTTTTGCCCATATTTGCTATGTATTACAAGAGCTCGCGCGCACGGAAATTTTTGTTAAACGGTCGATCAATCCGTTATTAATAGTCATAAAGAGACAAACGTGGTATCAATTTGTTTGTAAATATATGTGGTATATTATGAAAGAAAAATAAAAGCAATTCAATGTTGTGCAAAAGTTTTACGCGCGAAAACGCGCGCGCATGCTCGTACGCGCGATTTTTTATAAAATGCTTAGAATGGCCTAAAACGTATGCAAAATGATTTTCAGACGATTTTGAGCATTTCAAAATTTTGCGCGCGCATTGACGCGCGGACGTACGCGCAGGCGCGCGTTATTTGACCTTTTATTGACCGGACGGATATTGACCTTGATCATGATAAATATGAACGAGAAATACCTTTTGGTTATGAAGATATGATCATGAGTTGATTTTCGTAAAATTTTACAAAATGGCGCCTAGATGACGTCATCAGTAAAGGTCAATGTTGAAAACGTTATTGTGCTTTGTACATATGTCTATACATATGTGTGCCAAATTTCTAGGCATTTGATTGAGCCATTTCCAAGTTATCTTGTTCACAAAAAAGTGGTTAGAAATAAGAAAAATATATAAATAAAGGCAATTCTAACGAAATTATAAGGTGGTCTGTACGTTATACAGCCCACCTGATAATAAATAAAGGCAATTCTAACGAAATTATGAGGTGGTCTGTACTATATACAGCCCACCTGAAAATGAGATCAAACAAACAAGGAACTTTAAATCCCCTATTCTATAGCGATTACAGTTTTCAAACATTCATTACTTTCTTTTTTTATGTCCAATGTACTTTTCAGATATTTTCTGCTTTCTGTATTAAAGTTGAAATATTAAGGTTGAAATATCAAAGTTGAAATTCCCTTTAAAAATTGTGTATTTATCGTAAATGGATTGTACTTGTTTTTGTAATAATTCTTTCCGGTGCTATGATTTCCTGGCTATAACTGAACCATGATAACCCTGTTACAAGTTCATGTCGACTACTTTCACTTTCACAGATACGGAAGGAAGTAAAAATGGAGAAGCCAGATCTCAGACATGAAATCCGGTTTTGTAAACAGATGACTGCACATTTACAACGAAATCTTAATTGCTATGCAACATTTAGTAGATTATATTTTACACTTCCTTGTTCATGTATATTTACAGTGTATAGTTATGTAAACCAGTGTATGCAAAATGCAATCAGCGTCAAATAAAAATTTTGGAAACTAAATGCATTGAAAGATCAAAGAAAAATGTAACACTGTCTATAAGTCTGTAATCAGTTTATCTTCATTAATTTTAGGTTTTAAAAAAGTTTTTTTTTATGTTGCAAAACGCATAAACCTTCCAAATTTAGAGCAAGACATTATATTCAGTGAGCAGTCCCGATGCGCAATACACAAGTTTACGGTTACATCAGTGCGCATGCGCAGACAAGGGCGCCATTTTAATTGACAAGTAAACAAATCCAATGACCTCTCGAGGTCCATGGCTTATGCGTAAATTAAGATTGCGCCGAGCCGATGCAAATTATGATGTGAGCGCACAACGCAACGCGCAGGCAGTGATGTCATCATGATTTGCATGGGCGCAATCTTAATTTACGCATAAACCACTGACGTCTAGAGGTAATTTGGTTTGTTTACTCTTAAATTAAGATGGCGCTCACAACCGTAAACTGGTGTATTGATGCTCGCAATACACCAGTTTACGGTTACAACAGTGCGCCATTTTATTAGACGGGTAACTTGCGAGTAAACAAACCGCTGACCGTCAGTTTACGCGTAAATTAAGACGGCGCCCATGTAAATCTGATGTGAGCGCACAGCGCAACCAGTGACGCAACAATTTATGCGCATCTGAAAACATTGATGACATTGCCTGCGCTGTGCGCTCACATCATATTTGCATGGGCGCTATCTTAATCTACGCGTAAACCACTGAACTCTAGAGGTCAATGGTTTGTTAGGCCGTAAATTAAAATGGCGCCCATAACCGTAAACCAGTGTATTAAAAGCAATGGGTATGCAGGAATGTATAATGCAAGGAAGAGGCCTTTTGTACATTTACACGTGCTATGGCATCCTCCAACTCCAAAAGTAGAATTTTGAAAGTCAAACAAATTATAAAACTTCTCTCCACTAACCCTCAAATCATGTATGTAGTATGTGGGTGCTGTCCATATTGATTCCTAAGTATTTGATAATGTTGAAATAAACATTAACTTGAATTATAATGAATACTAAATACTCTATCATGGATTTATTGAGTTTTGCAAAAAACAATTGAAAATTATGGGTTTTCAAGAAAAAATTATTTATTCATGTTTTCATTTTCTTGCATATACTCATGGCAAATCATGTTCTTGGAATGCCTGATAGGGAGACATTGAGTTTTGTGACGAAACTTTCCAGACAGTTTGGTCCAGGGTTGAAGTTTTGCGTGATATACAGTCTGTATACGTATTTAAGTTATAGTTCAAATATTAACAGTGTTGACCAAACAAAACAAATTGTGAATGTGGAAATCATATTGTGACTTTCTAAACTTGTTGAGGAACACATATCCGCAAACCTTTAACAAAAATTAAAAAAGTAGCAACTGTTCAATATTTCAAGTGTCAAAAGTCAAGGATGAAATCATTTCGTAGCCAGTTTCAAGAAACATCTTCCATCTGACGTTGAATATTATGAGTAGGAAATATAAGAAGTTTGCTATTAAATGACACATCATTATGTACAGTAGCAGCGCATTCAGACGCAGTAGGGATTTCGGCATAATGTCACTCTGTCTAATCTTTTCTTGTAGCTCATTGAGCATGTTCAGTAAATCCATAACATGCCAGTGGAGTACAGAGCCCGGTGCCAGAAATTGAACCCTATTTTGCTCATTTTTGTGTACCAAACTAGAGAAGCAAAACTATAATGCCAAATCCCTCCCAAACTGCGACTGGTACTCAAGCAGTGAAGCGTCAAAACGAAAGACAGACAACACACTCTTCTTAGAGCCCCTCTAAAGTGTTGAGAGCCCCAAATTCGCCAAAAACTTGATGGCAAAATTTAACTTAAATCGTATCAAAATGTGAAAGAGGATGTCATTTAAGACACACTTCCGCAAAGATGTTCCGCCCCCGAAAATGTGTTTGAAAACAAATATTGATAAAAGGATCCATAATTTGGGTTTTCTTTTGTTGGCCTACGCAGAAAAAAACCTAAGTTCTGTATTCTTTCATCAATATTCGAATTCAAACACATTAGTTTTGAAAGTCCTTACAGAAATGTGTCTTAAATGACATCCTCTTTCACATTTAATGATACAATTTTAAGTAAAATGTTGCCATCAAATTTGTGGGGCTCCTAACACTTTAGAAGGGCTTTAGTAAATTAAGCCAATTAGTAAATCCACAGCTTTACCTTCAATGGACAAGTTTAAACGTAATTGGCATTTCTATGTGAATGCATGGGCTAGATTTTGGCAGCTGAACGGTTAAGACTTCAAACTTGAATGAGAGTAATTTCTTTGAAATGTATTTCGGTTTGATTGCCCTGCCTTCAGCTTTATCGCGAGAGACTCGATGACAGACTAACATGATGGATTCAGTTCCGGGTACAAGAGGTATATATTAAAGACGCCATTTGACCGATATTCACACTGAATATCGGGTGAGAGTCCATGGTATACGGATGACAGTTGATTGAGAATACGTGTTGGAAATTGGAGTGTGGGACGTGGATGTTGCGGAGGATACTGGCAAAAATGGCAACATTAAAAGTGCTGAAACTGTTTTTATTAAGTCTGTCTCCTTTCGTCTGCTTTCCGATATTGATACAAGGTAGGTTGCCATCATCTATTCAAATCAAATCCATCTTGGTGTGTGATTGTTTGCGTACAGAGGTGATCATGAGCGAGTCGATGATTTTATGAAAATGTCATCATGCATGAACCTGATCAAATGATTGGTTGAGAGCGTACATGTGACCTGGTAATTATTTTGCCTAACACGTAATTGTACTAATGACCGGTCATTATTAAATACTTATGACCATTCATTAGTAAAATCATGTTATGAAACATCATTTTATAAAACAAATAAAACATCATCTTATAAAACAAATAATACCCATTATTTTGTTCGGGCATTAGTAAAAATTACCCACACTCGGTACCAGAGGCGGATCCAGGGGTAGGGGGCGCGGGCACGGGCCCCCTCCCCTTGAAAAAAAAACACCTACAAACACGTTAACTTTACCTTTATTTGGCGAGGGATCCCTCCCCTGGTGCTTAAGGGCGAATTATCGAGAGCAAAAAAAATTAGTGCTCACTCCCCCCCCCCTTATTCACAGGCTGGCTGTTTCGCCGCTAAATATTTTCTCACGAATTGAGCCCCCTCTTTGGCCCTCTCCCCTGCCGCCGACTGGATCCGCCCCTGCTCGGTACCTTCAAAACAGTCCAAACACCCTTAGATTGTTCCAAAGGTACCTTGTGTGAGTAATTCTTACTAATGTCCTCACTGCTGTGTATTATTTGTATATTATTGTTTAAGGGGCGGTATACCTGAACATTTTCGACAAAGTAAAAAATTTCCGTTTTTTAAGCCCAACCTTTTGCGAATTGTACAGGTGTCTAAAGAACAAACAAAAAATGACATTTTAAACCTTATGCATTTTTATTGTGTGTGTGTTTTTTGTTTGTTTGATTCATTATTTTTTTTTAATGCATTTTATAAGCAAAATGTCTCCTAAATCTTGACTTCGTATAAATTCCGGAGAAACTTTTTGCACATGCTTTTTGTCATATTATGTCAACTCTCCTGCATAAATAGTTATCATAAGATTAAAAATTACCACCAACCTATGATATGTGCACATTTTAAAAATTAATCAGAGGAAAATGCCATAATGCATAAGGTTACAGATGTTGATGCTTTAAAGTAGATATTCATTGATTTTAAAAACTAACTTTATTTTCATTATTGCAAAGTTGAAACTTTGATTCGACAAGGTTAACGAAATTCAATGCTTGGAAACATTCGAAGTAATGATCATTAAAAATTACAAAACGCTTAAATACAGCCCCGGCATAGCGCCTGAAGAGCTCTCCGAACGCTGCTGAGATGTGTGAGATCACAGTATGAACATGACTTCCACAAGCAGACGATGTCCCATGACATCTCACACATTTTCAGTGCCTGTGTTTTCATCTTCTCTTGAGTTCTTTCTCTTCTTTCGATATGTAGTTGACCTAAAACTTGTCCGATGGCCATCTGTTAGCTTACCAGTTTCTAGTAATACATTACTTGACATATTTGTGATCTTCTTTGAATTTTACCTTTAAAAACTGGCTCTGTTAATTTGGCTAAAACTCTGAAATTTGGCCTTGAAATGTAAGGGGTATTAAGAACGCCTTATTTATAAGTATTACCGTACACAGTTTTTATTTTGAAAGCAGAATATTTTGTCAACAATTGTTATAGTGAAGATAAAGAATCTCATGTACCGCTCCCCGAATTCATGATTTTGGAAAAATTTCTTCTCGTTGCTCTAAATCGAAATTTAAAGGTACACTGTCCTACTTGTAGCTACTTGCTCCCTCTATATAGAAAACTTCCCAAATCGGTGCCTGTTGGTCCCCCATGATCCTCTTTTTCTTATGATCAATGAGAGCTGAGTTAATGAGATAGCCACCTGTCACAGTGACCTCGCTGGCTCACTGGGTGGTCTAATTCTTCTGGCTGAAGTAGTAATCCCTCCCTTTAAAAAAGTATATTGCTACCGTTGAGAAAAGATATATGTAGGGTCGCTAAAACTTAGTTCCGTATTATCGCATATAAATTTGCTCGAGACTGTTATCCACCGTTCATATTCTCAGACTACTCGGGATACATATGAGCTGAGAAATCCTTCTGTTCAGAAATCGAAACTTACTATACCATATATACCATCTGGGGAAAATGTTTGATAACGTCGGCCGATATGTGCAAATATAGAGCCGTTCAAAAAAGATGTACAGTACACATCATATTGCATATTGTTCATACAAATTGACTCTGGCCATATTTGAGTAAAATTTGAAATATAAATTAAATCCAAATACTTTCGTTTTTAAAAGCAAACACTTTACCCTCCCTCAGTGACCGTGCTACAATGTTGTGATGGACGTCGATCATGTGTTGGGGGGGGGGGGGGGTCAGTTACAGTATGTTTACTATTAGCCTTGAAAGAAGAAATGTGTAATGCTTAAAGGGACAAAGTCTCGGTCCTTTTCAATTTATACACAGCTAATTTCCTATTCAGAAGTATCGTGATGGCGAGAGAAATGTTTGTTAAATGTTCGGTGTCTATTTGCTTGCTCCCATGCAGTGTCGGTGATTCTGGGTGTCTCCATTTGTATTTTTTGATTTTATTAATTCATGGTATTCATGGGAATGATTAGACTTCTTGCTCAGTTGCTATACTCCCTCGCATTAAATATAAACATCGTATAACCAGACGCATGATAAAACATTGCAAATCATAATGTCCGCGATCATCACAGACCGGGTATTGACTAGTGTATTACAATCGGTAGAGATTTGTTTAAATATCCCGTAGGACTTACTACTGATGTAGGTTATGCGATCAAAAAGAGTAGGGGACGCACCACTTAAAATTATTATTGGTAAACCAGTAGCCCCTACAAGAATATCAGTTTAACGTGTGTTGTTATCACTTTAAATAGCTCTGTAGTATTAAAAAATGCAAAATACATGTAATATTATGAAGAAAAATTACAGACTGCAAATCTTTTTTTCTTCTTCTTTCCGTTATTTTGTTAGGGGGCATAGCAAAAAACGTTGTGCGATTAGGGGGGTTGGGATCTGCGGCAATGTTTGGGTAACGATCACCTCATATTTGAGCAGCGAGGTGGTCTGTTTGTAAGTTTTGTTTCTCATATCCTATATTTTCATTTTTTTTTATTTGCTTATATTTTCTTCTAAAGGTGTCCCACGATTGTATACTATGATTTTCAAATTATCAAGAAATTGTGCATTTTGAATGTTATTGGTAATAAATATCCTATTTGTGATATTAAAGGAATGTTCCTATCTTGAGTCAATTTCGCTGATTCTAGTGAATGCAAAGCCTGTGTCTTCTCAGGTAAAAACATGAAACGAAATGCAAATTGTTCCACCCTGAATGTCATACTTAAAAACACTGTGTACGTAATGTGGTTTTTGAAAGCAGGAAGAAGTAAAACGCGTTCGGCATTTAATTAATTGTTAGTTCGGAGAATTGCAACAAATTTTTTAACAATATTTTGTTTTAAAGAATTTATTTATCACGGTTACAATTATTTGTACTTCTTTTCTAGTAAAGAACCCTGATCAGACAATAATATTTTATTAAGCATAATATAGTCGTAGTCGAGTGGCTTAAAAGCATGACTGTTTTGGAAAGACATTAATCTGCAATTGGCACTCTCCTCCCCATTGTTCTATGGGTGCTGGTAGAAAGGAATTCCTGGAATGCTGTGAGCACCGAAATTAGTCATTGTACTGCAGGAGCGCACATATAGCCTTGGTTGGCTTGGTGGATCTTTGCACGCGCTATATTGAAATACGCAATATTACCAAAATCATATAATATTTATCGTTCGTATTTGACATGTAGTTTTCCCGAAGGGGCATTCCCTCATATGCCTTGCTTCTCAATAGGACATCAATTGATTTAGATTTTCAGTTTTCTACAGTTATTTTATTGTTAAAGTGATTGCCTATAGTACAAATAACTTACTTGATGGTTTGAAATCCAAAATGCATGTGGAAAATGAAAATGAGTATAGACTTACAGTTAACAACTGCATTATTCATACCCCGTGTAATTTTTTTCTTCTTCATAACTCAAAAATGAAAGGTCGATTGGTTGAATTAGAGTCTTATGATAACTATTTATGCAGGAGAGTTGACATAATATGACAAAAAGCATGTGCAAAAAGTCTTTTATACTTTTTGATGTAAGTTTTAATTATAATACTCGTGGGCGAGATTCTTTTCTTTGGCCAGTATAGACATATATAAAATTGAAATCTGTAAGAAACAATTTTCCTCTTATTTGGAACTCTATTCCTCCAGAAATATCCTCATGCAAGTCTTTAATATTATTTTAAAAGAAACTCGAAGCCGCATCTTATATCTAAATATCATTGATTCTTTTACCAATATTCATATTAAAAATATACAACATTACCTATAACTGTTTTCAAACTCATGATTTTGTTATGATTATTTCCATTTGTATTACCTCCCATGAATGATTTCCCTATCATGTTTTGTCATGTATGTTTCTTTTTTAGTTTTGTTTGTATATGTAAATCTGTTAACTATTGTTAGGGGAACTGTGCCTCCTCAAGGCCATTTGGCCTTATTTTTTATTTCCCTATTTTCATTTTCTAATAAATTGCAAAGGCTCACCATTGTTTATGTCTTTGTATTGTTTTTACTGAAAATGTAAATGAATGAAACGAATTGAATTGAATGTGTCACATTAAACATAGTTCGGACAAATCAATTATTTTCCTTCCTTAAAAATATGGCAAAACTTGGTATAGGTTTGAATAATTAAAAACAAAATTCTTTCTTGGTGTTCTAGGTGAGGTTGTTCATATCACAGTGCTGACCGTGGGATACACCGATGTAGATACGTCGAGCAATTTGCAGTATCAATGTTACCGCAGTGAACCAGATGCAGACGCTACACTATCATTTGGTCGATCAGCACCCATAACAACAGACAGATCACCACCAGACGATGTGCCACATCCATCAGCGGACAATGCATTCATCAGACGGGTCATATTCCCCACAGGAGATGGATGGGATAGAGATGGTTTCGGTCCTTTCTACTGTGAGGCTTCTAAATCTGATCGAGATGTTACAAGGGTTTCTTCATTTTTCCAACGTAGTGATGGTAAAATAGTTATTACATTCATTATGTCAATTATAGGATTCCCTTTTTTTAAAAAAAGATTTCTTCTTCAATTGTAGACTATACATGATGCACTGTAACAACATAAATAGGGCATCTTTCAGTTGGCGATGAAATTCTATGTGTGGTATCCTCTGATATACTTCATTCATAATCCTTATTAAAAACTATGCGCTACTGTGGAAATATTTTGCGGACAGGAGAGAGCCTTATACCGCAAGACGGTTTACTGACGATCAGGACCGAGAGTGATTGTTAAAGATTAATTCTTGAGAATGGCTATATTACAAAGACTTGTTATTTCACACGTATAATGACAATGAATCTTAAGATTCTAGGGAAGGACACTGTTAATAAGTTTTAGACTTAAATGGCACAGAATTTTTATCATATGCAAAGCATGCGCGGTAAGGAGTTGAGTCTGAAACAAGCCCACTTGTGTTGATGCTGTTTATGCAGTACATTCAAATGTTTAAGGAAAGTCCAAATGGATTTTTACATTACTATTTGCTATGGAAATGATATAAACTTGTAATTGAAATATATCAACGGTGAAATAAATGAATGCAAAGTCCTATAAAAGCATACAGTTTAATAAATATAGCTACACTGCGTCACTGCACGTAATCTGTAAACGCACCATAATAATACATTACAGTTAAGCCCCTTTCACACCGGATCTGCGTAGAGTTGCGTAGTGTTGCGTACCGACTACGCCAAAATTAAGCTGCGTACTCATGAATAAATTGATGCTTCGGCGTAGTCCTTGCGTAGGTTATGCGTAGGCTTGCGTACGATGGCGTATAGTTACGTACCCTGTGTGTAGGCACCGCGTACCTACGGCGTAGGCAATTGGCGTAGGGTTACGTACGCTTGCGTAGGCCTGGCGTAGGGTTGCTTACTGTGTGCGAAAGTGCCTTGTAAAAATGCAATAGACGTTCGTAGGAGCCGCGAGTGTAGCCATTGGCGCTTTATAAACCTAGTTTTATGCCCCTTAATCCACTGCTGCCTGCTGTCCAGAACACATCACTGCTGTTGGAATTACAGTTGGCTGTTGTAATAACACAGGCAGAAAAAGATCATGAGTTGGTTGGGCCCTCAGAAAAAAGCTACAATACTCCAGCATCTGGATGCCCTGTTATGGAAAGACTTATTAGTCACGTGGCAAAACATGAACGCTTGGGAGAAGAACAAGAACAGAGGAGGAAAGAAGCTAGAAGAAGAAGAAGTAGTGTGTAGGTAAAACCTTGGATCCAGCGCAGGCCCCCTACAGGGGCAATATGAACAGCTGATAAAAGAACTGCATGCTGCGGATGTTTCTGCATTTATCAATTTCATGCGGATGGAGCCACAGGAATTCCATGAACTTCTGACAAAAATTGCACCGAGGATTACCAAACGAGATACTAACTACAGGAAGTCTCTGGACAAGACACTTCAATATGGATTCCGAGTTGCCCATAACACTATTTCTGTGTTTTTCCCACAAGTGTGCCAGGCAATAATCGATGAACTATCTGACGAAGTTCTCATGTGCCCAGATACTCCAGAGGGATGGAAACAAGTGGCCTCGACCACAACCCTTGCTCTTCTTTCCTGGCATTTTTGCAGTAATTAAAGCAGACATAATTAAATCCTGCAGATAATAGTTCAGCAGCGACAATAGAGTCCGACGGGACGAATAAAATGTAGCACTGCAGGAATAGTAATGAAAAGTCCAGCAGGGATCAAGCAGTCATTGTGGCTAGGCTGCGCACAGGTTGGATCTAGGACGTCTTTATACGATTTTAATGCTTCGTCGGACTGGCGTAGGGTAGCGTATTGTTGCGTAGGCTTGGCGTACAGTTGCGTAGGCTTAGCGTACAGTTGCGTAGTGTTGCGTATACTTGCGTACACATTGCGTACTTTCTGCGTAAAGTGTCTACGCCGAAGGTACGTTCATCTCGCGTACCCATTTGCGTTCCTCCACGTACAGTTGCATAGGCCAGCGTAGGGTTGCGTACGATCGGCGTAGGGTAGCGTACGATCGGCGTAGTCGGTACGCAACTCTACGCAACTCTACGCAAGGCCCGGTGTGAAAGCCCCTTAACTTTGTTTGTATTTGTTTAACTTATCCCTTTAAACAGCTAAATTCATATCAAGTGATGAATTTTTTACAAAGACAGTTAATGTGAATGACACTGAGGTGATGATCAGCATGACTAGTCGTAGTAATCCTGATGCGAGTGCCAATGTGATTACTTGGATGAAAGATGGAAGTGAGGTTCTTACATCATTTGGTGGGCAGACTCAAATCAGCTTCCCAAACCCAATCCAGACATCAGATCAAGGAATCTATGAGATCTACTATAATAACGAGAGGGATCAAAATAGAGGAGGATTATACAGACTCATCGTCGGAGGTACATGTTAAGTGTATTCGTGCTAAATTCAGACTTTTTGAAAGGGGTCATTTGTTGTCCGAGATAAAAAAAAAATTGTTTGTTATGATGCATGTAAACAAGTTTTGCTACATATTTTGTCCCCAAAATAGTGATCTGTTTTAGATTTGGTTGGTTGGATTATGCAAGTTACATGATGATGATCTTTACATACCCATTCATATTTTTATATTAATGAATAAATGAATGTGAACATTTCTGTAAAATGTTAGTTTAGAGCACTCTGCTAGATGATTTCCAAGTCTGATCTTTGTGCTTTGCACATCATCGTAAGATGGACAGCTTGTTCCCCTGTGCAAATTTAATTTCAATAGATGTATGAAACTTCAAAATATAAAATCTAGGTGTTAAGCATGTCATAATCTCTGATGTAATTTGTACAGAGGTGTATTTCAAAATTACCTGTAAATATATTCAGAATGTAACAGAGCTTTATTGTTTAACCAAATTTTAAATTGTCTACTTCTATTCTTTTTAACCCTGCTTTTATCTGCTATATATTCTTATCTTTTTTTTAATGCAATATCTTTATAGGGACATGTACTTTACATAATTATTTGTTACTCTCCCTATCTCATATTAGAATGCCCTGCTGGTAAGTGGGGTCCATCTGAGTGTTATGGTATCTGTGATAAATGCTACAATGGTGGAGTCTGTGACGACAAGTCTGGTCTATGTATCTGTCCTAACAACTTCAATGGAACGAATTGTTTAGAAAGTAAGTAGGCCTGTAGAACTCCATGTGGAATGATGTTTATTTTTTTCTCTTAATAGATGAATTGAGGAAGATATTTCTTGACTTATTCCATTGTAAATGAACAGAGCAATGTAAATATATGTTCATTTCAAATATTTTTATACCTGCCGAGAAAATAGAGAAATAAAAAAAAGTATTATACATCATGTCTTTTTCAATTTAATATATGTACTTCTAAATCTTCATTTGACCGGGAATCGTTTTCAAGAATAATGTCGAACCTGTTTATAACGTATTATCTCTCATGTATTATGAACAGTCTGTTAAATAATGTAAAATGACTAAGTTTGTAAATACTTTGTAAAGTGACCCTCTCTACCAGAGCTGTGGGTCATTCTACATGACATGTATATACACTGCATGTACATCAAATACATCAATACATAAATGAAAAATAATATACAGCAGGGGAAAAGATATGCTTTTGTTTCTTTTTCCTTAATACCATTTAAAGAGCATTAGACACAATCAGTAATTTGCAAAGGAGATTACAGGAAAGCAACCAAACATATTTGAAATTTATCTCATGAAATCTTATTTCATATGCCAGTCTATAAGGTTTTGATTCAACATTGCAACTATTTTGTTTCAGCTTGTAGAAATGGAGGTGGAAATCGATTTGGATTAAACTGCGAGTTTCGATGTTCATTTAGACCCACTGATCCTGCCACACAATGTCATGGGCTTCTTTTTTGCCTTCCTGATCCTTATGGATGTTCATGTGACGTCGGTGCACATGGTCTTACATGTAACACACGTAAGGCTTCCGATATATTATTGGGCTCAAATTATAATAGTGAAAACTCATGTCAATGCCTAAAAGTTATCACACATGAACATCTACAATTCTCCGAAAAAAATTCTCGGAATATCAAAAGCACATGATGATATGGCTAGAATCATGATTGAGGTCAGGCGCTACTCAATTGAAAAGAGAAGAAGAACAAGAACAAGAACAAGAACAAGAAGAAGGAGGAGGAGGAGAAGGAGAAGGAGGAGAAGAAGAAGGAGGAGGAGAAGAAGGAGAAGAGGAGAAATTAATCAGAGTAAATTATTGTAACATGCACAACATTTCTTTCTGATGAATGTATCTATATGTCCATCCTGATTTTGTATTATGAATTCTATAACAGCATGTACTATAGGTACATATGGTCCAGGCTGCTCACAGACATGTCACTGTGCAGGTGGTGGTTCATCATGTGATATCTACAGTGGAATATGTACAGGTGGATGTCAGACTGGCTGGTCTGGGGATAACTGTCAAAGTAAGTCGTGGTCAACATTAATAACATATAATATGACATAAATGCTTTCCCCAAATTATACATGTCCATGCAGCTTTGTAATTTTGTATTGTTTTAACCCCATTGCCTACAGGACCCGGTTGGCTCCTGTATTTTACTTTTATGTGGAATTAGATAATTCAGTAGTCAATGGATAAACTTGAAGATATTACATTTTTAATTTTTGTAGACAAGCCCACTCTTAAGCTGTGTTTTGGGGACAACTCCTCCCGTATATTCCGGGTACATGAGCGCTATACAAGAACCCACTATTATTATTATTATTATTATTATTACATTCCATTTCCATTAGAAGTTATATTAGTAGAAGTATTAGTATTAGTAGTAGTAGTAGTAGCAGACGACTGGACGACTTCGGCGCCATAGCTCAGTCGGTAGAGCAGTGGTCTCGTAGTCTTGCAAAGATTGTCTGAAGTTCAGTCATGCATGCAGAGATTCAACTGAAAATGGTACCTAAATTTCTTGGGAGGATAACTCTATCAAGACATATCATGAAACCCATGATTAAATATTCATACTTCAAACAATACAACTTTTAAAAAGTGGGACATTTTTTTGACTCACTCTGTAGTTGCAAAGAAAATATATTGATAATGACAAGAATTTATATTTTCATCTAGTATTATTTGCAAGTGCTTGCTGAATTGTTGTTTAAAATATTCTTCTTATCATCCCCAGTTCCAGATGAATGTGACGGGAGTTACTATGGATCTCAATGCACTGATAAATGTCATTGCTTGAATGATGAACCATGTGGTGAAGATACTGGAGAGTGCCCCGAGCAGCAGTGTGCTCTAGGATACAAAGTACGCAGTGGCCAGGTCCAATGTCAAGGTAAAATACTATTTTTCAATAAAGGGTGATGAATTTTCCATATCGATTCCTATTCATTTTACCAAGACTCCATACATGTACATCAAGTATGGTTCAGTGTGCACACCGTGATTGTTTTATGTACATAATTATGTGTGAATAGTCATAAATCCATGTAGATGTATAGTATGTATATTGGTCATATCAACCATATATATATATATGTACATAGTGCTGTGTTAGTAAATACATTTTAATAGATGTATACTCTGGATGGAGATCCTAGTATACAAATATTGACTGCTTTGAGGGGCAAAATTGAAACTATATTGCCCAAAGTTAACTTTGAAACTGTACTCTGCCCCTGAACACATTTAGGTTGATTAAATTATGACCCCCAAATTAGAAGTCATTCTTTGTTATACGATACCTATGCACCTGCCATAATTGTTCCCTGTCATTCTACACTAATCAAGTTCTTGTCTTCGACCCTTGACCCAACAGTGACCTGACCCTAACCCTAAACCTAACCTAACCTAACCTAAAACCCAATTGCAACCCGAGCCCTAACCCATACATTTGCTGAAATACAGCTCAGAATAATTGTCCTAGGAACAAACGTCTGGTCTCCGTAGAATAGCATCACACAACAATCCTCCGTGGTAAGAGCTGCACTAGCTGTGAAAAGTTATTGTCTGAAATGAAGAGTTGCGGCCAGCATGTTGAGCTGTGCATCTGAGAGTGGTAATCAAGAGAACTGCAGATCTAGAGGTGGTCCCTGAGCAGCAGGCTTCAACAGATTTCTAGCAGTACTGGACCTTTACTTCTTATCAGCAATAGACTGCTGATCAACGATGACAAGACAGAGTTCCTCATTATTGGCACGCGTCAGAGGCCGAAGATCAACATCCCCCACATCAGGATCGGCGATATTGATATCTTCCTTGCATCTCATGTCCAGAACTTGGGTTGCATCATTTGCATGTTTGATTCGGTCATGACCATGAATCGACATGTCCCGAATGCATGCAAAGCAGCCTTCTTTCTTCTACACAATATATGTCGAATTCGCAAGTATCTAGACCAGGGGTCATTCATTACTCACCCTTATTCACGCCTTCATCACCAGCCACGTGGATTACTGTAATGAGCTACTCTATGGTGCCAGGTTTACCCAAGTTCTGTTAAATGAAACCTATCCTTCGTCAATTGAACTGGCTACCCATCCGATCCCGGATTCAATACAACATACTTCATCTCACCTTCAAATGCATCCATAGTCTTGCTCCTCCCTTCCTTTCTGAACGTATAACTATCGGACAACCATTCCGCTACTCCCTTCGCTCCTCTCAAGGCATCACATTGAACCACTTATCTCCCAAGATGCTACCCACACTTGATGATAGAACCTTCACAACTGCTGCTCCCAAACTGTGGAATAACCTACCGATATCTCTAACCAACAATCTGCCTATACCTTCAAAAATATCAAAAACTCATCTCTTCTGATTAACAATATAATTATATAGCTCATTTTTACATGTATATGGAAAATGCGCTATATAAATACATTATTATTATTATTATTAAAGTTAAACTTACTCACAAAGACGTGAGCCAAAAGAAAATCGAATAATTTCACATGATTGAAATGATTTGATTTTTCTTAACAACCCTATTTACAGTAGACCTAGCTCAGCCAACATTGTCTTGGGCTTTGGTATTGTAGTATCATTGACCAGATGTTTCCAATATATTCGACTTTTGTTTTATTATATTTCAGAGTGTGAAGGGGGTACCTTTGGTTTGGATTGTCTTCAGCAATGTCATTGTGCTCCAGAGGCTTGCGAGACGGAGAGGGGCCTTTGCAAGGGACAATGCCTTGATAGCTGGACTGGACCATACTGTCAAAGTAATTATACCTAGCATTTTGTTTTCTCGTTTCTTTTCTTGTTCAGCTTAAATTGGTTCGGATGAAAACTATTGCAGAGTGCATATTATATGCGCATATATTAAAGATGTTAATCACAATCTTGCTCCAGAAGTTTGTGGAGCAAGTGCTTTTACCTCAGTTTAATTTCTATGTAGAGCCACATGGGTATCAGTACATGGGGGATACCGGCGCTATATGAATAGCCATTATACTGTAAAAAATATCTGTATTTTTACAGGAAAAAAAATACAGATTTGTAACGTTTTAACTAAATACAGCAATTCGGATGTATTTTTTTTACATATATCCCGTAAAAGTACTTCATTTTTATTGTGAGACTGATTTACATCAGAAATTCGTAATTTTAAGGCAAAATACAGGTACTAATACAGTTTGCCTGTAATTTTACAGATCTATCTCGTAAAAATACTTCATTTTTATTGTGAAACTGACTTACATCAGAAATTTGTAATTTTAAGGCAAAATAGAGTACTAATACAGTTTGCCTGTAATTTTACAGATCTATCCCGTAAAAATACTTCATTTTTATTGTGAGACTTACTTACATCAGAAATTTGTAATTTTAAGGCAAAATAGGGTTACTAATACAGTTTGCCTGTAATTTTAAGGCAAAATAGAGTTACTAATACAGTTTGCCTGTAATTTTACAGATGAAATTGTTTACCTAAATGTATTTTTACAGATGTCTGTATTCGTGCAACGATTTCTTAAATTGAATGGATATGGTGCAATTTTACTTCTATGTGATTTAATTTGAATGCAGTTACTAGATTCTTTAACAAAATTTTGTTTTTATAATGTCGTTTTGATTGGACAGCATTTTACATTTCATGAAACTTATTTCACATATACTGTAGCATATTTACAGATTCCGTTTTCCAACTTTAAAATCCCAGACATGATTTCGAATAATTAGGCGTTACGAAGTAGAATAATTAAATTAAACGAGATTTAAAAGAAATTTAATATTGAAGTTTAATTTATATTCTACGAAGTATAAGCCTAATATGAGGAATCATGTCCCTCCCTGATTGAATGTTCTGTCAGTGTGACTATTAATACAATTGATTTTGTTGTCTTTTTCCCACCCTTCTTTGCATGATTGAATGAGCCTTTTGTCTTTGAATACTGATGCACGTGGCTTTGAGTGGGCTTCTTATACATGATGCGGAGGATGCTCATTTGCATATGAATGAAGTCCCAGAGACTTTGAATGTGTACTATATTTCTACTTTCATGCTGTTAAATTACATGGTGGTGTAAAAAAAATAAAACAAAATTGGGTCAAATACAAATACACAAAAAGGTACTTCCACACCAAAGGGAGGCGAGTTGGCTCAGTCGGTAAAGCGTCCGTCTGTCGAACCAAAGATCCCGGGTTCGACTCCCACCCAAGCGGATGACTGAAACCTGCGTTGTGTATTGTTCATAGACGCAGGTTATGTCAAGTGGAAAACACTCCGTCCCTCGGATAGGACGTTAAATGGAGGCCCCGTGTAGAGAAGAGTCACTACCTTTGCACGTTAAGAACCCACTGCACTATTCGTATAAGAGTAGGGGGAAACCCCGGTGTAGTGGTCCACCTGCACACCCCCAGTATAGTACGATAATACTCTGTAAAGAGGTCTGTACTCAAAAGGAAGAAGGGAAAGCTGTAAACCAAATTAACAAACATTTGTATTTATACAACGTTTTTGTACTATATTTTTACATTCATTCTGTAAAATGACATGGTGGTGTAAACAAATAAAACAAAATTGCTTCAAATACAAATACACAAAAAGGTACTTCCACACCAAAGCTGTAAACCAAATTAACAAACATATGTATTTATACAACATTTTTGTACTATGTTTTTACATTCATTCTGGTGTAATTTTAATTAACATACAATTTGTAAAAGAAAATACATGAAATGTTTGTAGGAGAAAATAACAACCAATCTGTATTTTTACAACATAATTTATGGCGACTCTGCTGACAGCAGATTTGCTGTAAAATTACAGAGATTTTTTTTACAGTGTATGATCATTATCTTGTTGGTTGCAGACACTTGAACATGTACAAATAAGTTCGAAAACTATTTTGTATTGTTTGCTCTGTATGAAGTCCAATCTCTATTTTAATGAAGTTTCTCCTACACGATACATGCTGTAATTGGAACTGTAATGGTAATGTTAGAAATAAAAAAAAAAAAAAAAAAAAAAATCCTCCAAATGACTTTCTGTAATTTAATAATCTTTGTAGTACAAAATAGTTTTCTCAAGTGGATAGACATCTTGATTGATACTAGTCAGTGGTTTCACGAAGCATGTATGATTTGCCTCACTGCCATATAATGATAATAATAATAATAATATTTAATTTTTATATAGCGCTTAATACAAATGTCTCTAAGCGCTTTACAGATATACTATTAAGCAATTAGACTTTAATCAAAATAATCAAATTAAGATCTTCCCTTGTTTAGGTACACCTACATGAACATGTACACGTGTATTACATATCATTATATTACAAACAACTTTTCATGTCTACAGCAATAGAAGATTTTCAACCCAGTCATTTCATAGTTAGCAAGCACGGAATCCAATGACCGGGGTAATAGTATATTTGTAAAGCGCTTAGAGAAATTTGTAATAAGCGCTATATAAAAATAAAATATTAAATATTGTTATTAGCATTACTATCAAGAAATGAACGGGTTGAAATCTTCTATTGCTCTAGACATATAAAGTTGTATGTAATGATTTGTAGTTATGCTTGGTTTTTGACAGGAACAACAAGATTATCAGTAATTTGATATTCTTTCGAACTCTTTCGAAGAATCGAATTCTTTCTTTTATTGATGAATATGTTGATGGTCAATGTTTTACAAAGTGCATGTAGGATTTGTTTATCATATGTATTGTAAGTTATTTACATAAAGCGCGCGGATTTTTAATGAAATGATTGGCCTTAGGGTTTGCTCTGTCTCGATAAGTCGGAGCATAATTTAGTGTTTAATGTCTGGTTTGATTCTTGACAGGAATATTAAGATTGGTTCCAGTGAGAGTAAACCCATATCAACCGTCTAGCTTCACATGTTATGCTGAGGCTATCCCACTTCCCGATGCATCCTCAGTTGATCTTTACAGACGTACTGGAGACATAAATAACAGGACAGGAATCACCAGGAGATCTAGCACTGTCTTAGGGTCAGAACGAGCTGTTGTCTTTGATGTTGATAGTGTGCATCCACAGGAAGATGGGAGATACGAGTGCAGTCTTACTGTTGAAGGTGTAGGCTATCCCAGTACGCTCATTACCAACGCAACCTATGGTGAGCAAACTGCGTGACATCACTTTACTCTACTGTACTTCTGTGAGATACGTTTGTAATAGGAAGCAGGAATTCATTATCTGTAAATGCAGAATCATTCGCAGTCACATTGTCTGAATACAGGGTTACAGGAAATCTGTTAGGTTTTGTTGTTTGTACTTTGGTAAATTTTATTTTCACGTTAACTTGATGGAAGAAACTTAAATGATAGGTGTGTCATTGTCAATGATTTTGACGGTTATTTCAATAAATTGTATTAATTATTTCTGTATCTTTTCCTTTTTGTCAGTTCTGCCAGTCATAGAGAAAGAACCAGTGATATTGAGCACCACGTCAACTACAGTAGGTCTTCGATGGAATGCATGGTCTGAAGAAGATGACAAAGGTGATCCTCCTCTGGTAGGATATGATGTCTTTGTAAAGAAGGAAACTGACTGGGTAACGGATCAGAGAGTAGACCAAGTCACAACATCAGCTATCGTTAGTAACCTGACACCCGACACAGATTACAGGTTTCGTGTAGCAGCAGTGAGGGAAGGAACAGGTGGAACAGGACCCATGTCTCCTAGGAACAACACAATAACTCTCTGTAGAAGTAAGTTATGTTCAGAAAAAACATAATTGAATCTCCCAAGGATTTGTCATGATTTCCGAGTGCAGAAGAATATTTTTGAGTACATGTATTACATTATAAGTAAATTATTTAAATATGCACTTTCCAATGATTGAATGCTCTTTAACTTATTTAGTTCTGTGAGTTAAATCTGTCTCATAGAAATATTTGTATTTTCCATTCCATATATATTCTGCTTTTTAATTTTTCTATCTATCTAAAATTTGAAACTGAAATTTTCTTCTATAAAATATGCTTTTTTCCGAATGTGTTTATAATATCCTTCGTTGTTTTTTGCCTATGGGTAGTTTCATGTTTCACAAGTTGACGTTTATTTAAAATCACATGAAGAGTACCTGTTGTAACAATGGATGATTTTACTAAGACGTGCATGTACATGTAATGAATTTATCTACTGCAGGTACAAGCCATTAAGTATCGTCTATATAATTTTAAACTTCAGAACCCAGTGCTTCTCCAACTGGACTACAAGTTTCAGCCATCAACCCTAAAGAGCTAGAGGTGACATGGGAGGTATGAACCGTTTGAAGAATAGCTGTTTGGTCACTTAGTGAAATGTAGTTGGATGAAAAGACTCGTCCAGAACACAAATGTATAACTGTTTAATAAAGGCAACGTTTAACAATATTAAATCTGAGATGCATGGCCCTACATGTTATCAGTATCTGTGATATGGTGTAATATTGAAGTCCTACAAAATTGCGCTTCAAAATGAATATGAAGTGTCTCAAATAAGTGAAAATTTTTGAGTGACCGGTTTTACGATGCTCATTTTCCCCAGTAGACTGTAGTGTTATAAAAACCGTTAGGTAAACGAAAAATGAAATTTCGATGTCCAATCATAAATATCTTGATAATCAAACAGGCGATCTGCTTGTAAAAGCCATAGATTCATGACTGACCTAAAGGTTTATACTTATGATTGCAGCATGAGCTACATCCAGGATTTTGTTTCAGGATCTGAGACAATGTTACCGAGTCACTTTGATAGTCACAATGTTCTAACATTGAGGTAGAACCACAACCTGGGCCATGAAGCTGGTTAATATAATTATGTTCTACCCTGATTAGACTTAATTTTACCTAAACTTTCATCAAGATTTGTCAAAAATGAACGTTAAGTCACTCACTTCACTAGTTTGCCTTTGGCATTCTTCACGTACATCAAATTTTGACTAAATGAAATGCTTCCTAATTGAAAAGAGGTGTACCAATTTTTCTGTTTGCCAGTTGAAAGTGTGTGCTTTGGGGTTTATAGAATACAGTTTTAATAACATTTTAAAGTAGGAAGCTAGTAATATAAAGATATTTTGTGAACAAAACAAGAAATTCTTGTTCTGCAGAATGCTCCATCACGTTGATTGCAGCATCATAATTAATGCGAGAAACTGTAGGCAAAATATGATAACATCTTTGTTTACTAGTGTGAAAGTAACATCTTCAATGTGATTGTGCTGCATGTGACATGTATTTGCTCCTTAATGTTTCAGCATCTCCAATCAGAATCAGCAGAATGCCGAAGTGGAGTGACTCATTATATGATATATTACGCTCCCTCTGGTTCAATTCCTTTAAACTCTCTCATGGTTCGTAATGACACAAGCTCTTACACGATAAGAGGGTTGGATACCTATCTGGACTATACCATCCAAATAACTGCATCAAATAAAGACGAGGAAAGTGATAGGAGCAGGGAGACTATCGGCAAAACGATTGAAGAAGGTAAGACTTCATCAGCTAGTTATCTTGAATTCTTGTAAGGAAAATATTCCGATATGTATAGTAGAAGACTGACGTGCAAATCGCTGTTAATTACTTTATATAGTTTTGGTTGAACACATTTTCCAACGAGTGCTGCCAAAAAAAGGTGAGAACAAAAGCAGTGAGACTAAGAAATTGAGAGTTTGCCTGCCGAATACAGAGTACATTTTTTTCTTTCATTCTTTTGTTGCAAATATTGATACGCTGGGAAATGAGATCCAATCAATATTATTCAGTTGTATACAGTGAGCATTGGATATATATTTTGTAGATCCTAGCCTGTGTAGCTTGAGGCCCATCTCAGACGATTAATTGTTTATTCGTTTATTATTAATTTGTGTGTTTGTTTTATTTTTTGTGTGTAAAGGGCTATTTCACTCTGCTGCTTGTAATATTAGTTAGCTGTCTATTTGATTCCCTTTAGTATACTACTAAAGTCATGTATGGCATTAAGTTACATTGTTATTGCAATCAATATCACACAAGACAAAGTACTACTGGGCCCCGTCTTATAAGAGTTGCAATTGATCCAAATCAATTGCAAGTCCTCCAATCAATCGCAAGTTTGCAGTCTCTTATTTCTGAATATGTATATAGTTGCGATTGATATCAATCGCAAATAAGTTGCGATCAACATCAAGTCTTTATAAGACGGGGCCCTGGTCTCATGACAAATTAAATATTATTATTATTATTATGACAAATTTACTGGACCATTTTTAAAAACTTTCATCTATACAGTGCGTCCCAGAAAAAGCGAAACCGAGAATTATCGACGTTTTATCATAACTTAGTCACATTTATAATTAATAAATGACACATATTTGGAAAGCTTAGACCCTCCTTTTTCATTTGATGCAACTTATATGATGCATATTTCATGCATGAGTGATTAAAATCAATTTGAAGAGAGGAAAACAAAAAGTCATTTGGCGGACGATATCTGAATTCCAAAAAGAAAATCACATTTCTAGAAAGTTGAGTTTCTGCCCTTTCATATGACACCTCAATCAGGAAAAATGAGCAAGGAATGACAAAGTTCTGTTTGTTTAAAGTAGCCCTTACATTTTCATAATTTTAGCAAAAGAATTCGTTTTCACTGGCTGCCTGCCGTAGCAAAAAGCAGAATTAACAAAAGACGTAACTCAATGCGTGAAGTCTTTCGTCTCGGTTTCGTTTTTTCTGGGACGCACTGTATATATGGTGTATGAGGTTCTTGTTTGCTCATATACTGCTTTTTAGTCCTTACCATAACCCGCCCTCATCCCCCCAAAATAATGTAACCTCTCATAAAAACTTTATAAAAGTTTATTAATATAGACTCAAATTATCTGTTTTTTCCTTAACAGTTGCACCTAGTCCTATTAATGTGGCTATACCACAGAGTACTACAAGCTCCTTCACTGTATCCTGGTCTACGCCTCTACCATATAACATCAATGGTAACATCCAGAAGTATATCATCCGCTTCAAGCAAACTGATCCCATTGTTGATGGTGACTATAAGATGGAGGAAGTATTGAATGGTATGTTTGGAGGAGAGCATACTGTGGTAGACCTGACAGCACAGTCCAACTACTCAGTTCAGGTAATACATGTCATGTTATTATATGTACTTGTATACGTCTTGGGAAGGTAAAGAGGAGTGGATTGACATGGATGGGTCATGTTTGAGAAGTGAAGATGATGAACTGTTAAAAGAGTGTGGTATCTGGAAGTGGATGGATTAAGAGGGAAAATAAGACCAAAGATTAATAGAAAGATATAATGTCATGAAGAAGAAAGCAGTAAGGTTGGTCGAAATGAGGAGGAAGCTTTGAGACAAGAAGAAGTGGAGGGAGGCGTGAAAGTCAGTAATCCCTCGTAAGAGGGAAATGATTTGCATATATCGTGGTCAAAACTGCCATTATATAATTCAACATTGACTGGGGGTAGCTATATTTGCGTGGATGCAATAGATTCGAGTGAACTTAACAATGGATGCACTCAGAGGACATGAGCACTACATTCAGATTGGTAAATTGCCCCCCAAATTTAAAACGTCTAAATGGCATGTTTTGTCAAATATCCCTTTTTGAAAATCCGCACTTGAGATGCGATGTATAAAACACATTTTGACAGCTTATTTCTTTTGTCACAGAGTTGACCTCACTCAGCCTCTAAAAAGTCAGCTATATATGTGTTTTTAGAACTTTTAGTTCAACTGTGTAAAGAGCATGAAAGAGCAAGTTCCCTTTTCATAAGTAACCAAAGAATTGCCCTAATACTCGGCTGCTAAAAGGACAACATCGTTCATCAAAAAAAGAAATATATAAATTGTATAGCATGATTTTTGTAATAATATAGGTACAGACTGTTAATGGAGCTGGTTCTAGTAATTGGTCAGAACCTGTGAATGCTAAGACGATGACACCGGGTAAGAGTATTATAAGGCTTATCAATATTGTGTTCATACATAAAACCTTTTTTCCATGAGAATTTAAACTTTGAATACCAAATTCTACTCATTCCCATAATATTTTATACAGGGACCATATGTTTCAACAAAGTTCTATCTTAACTGCTAGTACTTGAGAGATGCGTGTATCTCAAGGTAAACAAAACTTCTTTTGTTCCACGGATTGCACATTTTGCCCAAGAATATCTGCATTGAAAACTTTTTGGAACTAAGAATTGTTATGTTTTACTTCCTGACACAGAAATAACTTGCAATTAATTTGTTGTCCCTGAGATCCTATTAATCATGGCAAAAATAGATTTATGGACAGCAAACAACCCATAGCAAGGGTCTATCATTTGTAAGTTGTAAGTTCTATGCTTTTGAAGCAGCGATCCAATCTTTACTCATAGGAACTTCATGTTGCTGTGACCAGCTGTCAACATTGCAAACATCTGCTGATACTTATAGTGGCTAATGTTCCTAATTGCATAATACATGTATACTAGCAGGACCCGTGGAAATCCACGGGATTCTAGGGGAGGGGGCCAATTAGATAAATAGATAGATAGAGGCCTATGTGCTATCCAAAAAAATTAGATTATCTTTATATATAGAATTTTTATAATATATGCTGTTTGACCATGAATGGCGCATCGTAAAACAAACTATGTCAGAGAGGATCTTGATAATTACGATTTATTTGCATTATTATTGTTGTGATTTCAATGTAGTTTCATGAAAAGACTACATATGCAGAGGCTTGGATTATGATTATGTTGGCATTGTTCACAGAATGTGTATAATTATTTTCAAAGTAAAGATTTTACGCGAAAAATCGGACGGTTTGTGCACAAATTGACTCGACTATGTGTGGGACTGTGAGCGTAGAATCCAGTGAAAGATTTTTTTTTTCGGAGACTCGATCTATATCAAATTTTGGGAAAATTTTTGGGGGCTACTTTTTTTTTTATCTTTCGGGGGCTCATTTTTCTTGGGCTAATTTTTCATTAATTCATTTAAAGATGCAGTTTGTTTAGTTTAGTAGCGTAGTGTTACGTAAAAAAAGGCATACTTTCTGCGTCAAGTTTCTACGCCGAAAGTACGCGAATTTTGTTAAACATATTAAATTAATTGCGTCCATCTTGCGTACTTTTTTGCGTCCCTCAGGGTATAGTAACGTAGGCCAGCGTACTCTCAGCTCAGCGTAGTTGGTACGCAACTCAACTATGGACCCCACGCCAATTAGTGATCGACCTGCCAGTGTCACAAATAAGGCATTAAAAATATGCTCATCTGACCGTAATTAAATGCCTAAAACCCCTGAGCTTTCGGGGGTTCAGCCCTTTGTACCCGTGGACACCACGCCTGCACTCAAATGGCTTTGAGTTACCTGACCCTCCCCCCCCCCATACTTTAAAAATTGATTTGATGCAAGAACTGTATCATACTAAAAGTATTATCATGTTTTTAAACGACCATGACGACCGTCTGATTTTCTTGTGAAAACTTTACTTTGAAAAATGATTATCGAAATTCAGTATACAACTATACATGGCCAGAATAATCACAATCCAAGCCCAGGTTTCATACATCTATTCACGAAACTATATTGAAATCGGGGCAATAATAGCAATTTCAAAGTGTTGTTTAGACTCTCCTCACACCCACGGACAGACCTGGCTACTCCGGTCACCGCTACTCCATGCTCACACACTCAGCTCCGACAGCACCGCCGACAGCAGCGCTCAGCTGCCGTGGCAATACACTGTGGACTCAAGGCAGTTTGCAACTGAACTGTCACGTGAAGGCGTACTATCACAGATCTATTTGCGCTATTCTTGTTGTGATTTCGATGTAGTTTTCATGGAAAGACCAATAAAACAGAAGCTTGGACTATGATTATGTTGGCATAGATCACAGAATTTGTATAAATATTTTCAGAGTAAAGATTTTACGTGAAAATAGGTCCATGGTTTGCGCCAGCTGTCGCAATCGCCTCGACTCGAATCGACTGTGGTGTGTGCATGTGTGTGACCTGAGAGCGTGTAATACACGTACACTGTGGGCGCCTGGCCTACAAAGCATATCCTATAGAAAGACGCATAACACGGGTAAGCTCAACCCGTTGAGCGTACATATTGGCTACATCCCATCACCAGAGTGAGTCGTCTGTTGATGTGTATTTCTCTTACACGCTACAAAGCGAATCCTATAGCAAGAGGCCTTACTCGGGATATGCCGCAGCCTTTACAATGAGACTTGCTACACCCGTTGACGCGAGTGGATTCTCGTCCATCGTGTGTCTCTTCGTCTCTCTTTGATAATTAGACAGAGGGCGGGTGCACGCCTTGCCGACTCGCTCTCGCGGGTTCGTCGCCTCCTCGCAATCCGCGACGCCCGCCGTGCTCTCGCCCGCCCGTCCTCCCCGGCCGCCCCGAAACCGCGTTTAACGGCGTGGACGTCGATCGCGGGGTCGACGTGGCACGCGGGTTACGGGAGACAGGCCTCGTGGAATTGTGCCGCCCTCCCCGCGCCACGGCGGAGGCGGGCGGGGTCGGGGAAAGACGTTTTTGAGGAACCGTTTTGTACCCGTTTGGACCCCCCGCGGCGATTTTGCGTATTAGTAATATAGATACACACACACACACACACACACGCAATTAATAAACAAACAAATTTAACAAAAAATTCCCCAGTTTCCATTGGCTTTCATACGGGAGCCATCGGATTCCTGTATTTGATTGGTACATTGTATGAGTCATATTCATTTATTGTAACATTATAGGTTGCCCTCCATGTGCGTCAGTAGGACTGATAGTAGGGAGTGCCATGGCTGCCCTCGTTATCAACAACCTGGTCATTATTCTCGTCATTGTCATCTTTAGAAGGTGAGTGACAGGAAGACCGTTGTCTAAGGGTCATTAAAATAGTTGAAATACACTGTATACAGACAAAACGTAGACAAACACTAAAGACAATGAAAAACTCCCTTTCATTTTTTTGCTCAAGTTGCAAAAAGATGATTAAAAAAACAAAACTACAGAATTACGCAATATATTTGTGAAATAAAAAAAATCAAAAGATTTAATATCATCGTTAGGAGTGTTCCTTTAGAGTGATGGGTGTTTTGGTTATGTACATTAGGCCTCAAGAAAAGAAAATGTTGTATTGCCCTTTAGGTGCCAAATTATGGGTCGGTTCGTTTTAAATCTTTTTTAAAACTTTTTTGTTCTTCTCCCTCTTTGGGCTGATATATTTCCGTTTTATTTTTCCTAAAAAAACGTGTAAAAAAAATTAAAATTAAATTAAAAGCCGACCGTAGATTTCAAGATTTTTGGGTCGGTCGCAAAGGGCAATAAAACACCTTTTTTTTGTAGGCCTTACACTAATTTTGGTCAGTAAGCATGTTTATTCATTGATGTTACAAAGGAGAAGGAAATAAATGTAGTTTTGAATTGAATTTCACTTCCAGGATTAAACAAAGACGTTTGAACGCTGAACCAGCCGCGTCGCCACCAAATAAAGCACAAGAGACCTCTTCGAAGTATGGGAACCCTGCATTTGATGACTCGGACACCCATGCATACCAAGATCTCAATACAGACACACCTAATTACCAGAATCTTACCGACCCCCATAACTATCAAGATCTTAAGAAACCCAACATCGACGTTAACTATCAAAATGTCACAAAATCAGACCCGGGAGACACTTATGAAGAAATATAGAAACAACCCTAGCGTGGCGAAGGTGTATGGTGCCAACATTGATACTTGCTGGATCAACAATTATCCTTTCGCTCCCATACAGACTTTAATTTTTTTGAAAATAGTATACTTAAGGTACAAGACTTATATTTTGTCCAACTAGGTCAATTAATATATGATTATAAAAATAATATGTTGCCATCTGTTTTTCAAGAAATGTATTTTTTAAACAGCTCAGTCCATAATTACCCAACAAGACATTCGGAGGATTTTTCATTTACCTCTCTTGCGGACCCTCTTAGCTCAGAAAAACATTTATATAGGAAGGCTCCATCGATTAATATTCATAAGAATTGTTTTTATTACAATCATATAAACCTCATTGAGGTATAAGATGTTGCTGTTGTTTTAGTTGAATACAAGATCTTTCTCAACTCAGTGACTCAAAATGTAATTTGATATATTATATTATGCCCTCTCGTGCTTATCTCCTTTCTAATGCGCATTTCTCTTCCCTCATATCCTTCTCAACCCCAAATGCAACTCTTCCTTTTGTATTATTTTCTATACCCCCGATCTCTCACTCCCTTTTGGCATCGTCTACTCCTTGTGTTGTGACCGTGTTCCTTTGTCATGTAAAGTACTGTCTTGTCCTGTTCTCGTCTCTCATTTTCATTTTTCATTTCATTTCATTTATTTAACCAGTATAAAAACAATTTACAATGAAAATACAATATACAATATACAATATAATGGTTAGGACCCCTAAGAAGCAGAAATCTGCTTGTAATCGGGGCCCTGCAAACAAACAATAACAAGATAATGCACATAAATTAACAATACAAAGTAAAGGACTTAAATAATACAAGTACGCACCCGTACATCAACACACACGCACGTTCATAAAGGTTACAGAGAAAGAATAGAAGGAAGCGAAAATAGGGCAGAAAGAGATAAAAGTAGAAAAAAGATGGGAAAGAGAAGTACTTACTCAAGCATGGATTGAAAAATACTTTTTTTATACATTGATTTAAATCTGGTAATTGTAGAACTGGATCTTAGGTCATAATTCAAGGAATTCCACTCCCGTACCCCAACAAATGATATAGAATTATACATTAAAGTTGAACGACAGAGTGGGTGATGTAAATTTAGACGTTGACGAGTGGGGTAATTGTGAACAGAAGAATTTGTTTGGAACATATTATTAAAAACAGATGGTAACAGGTTTTTATGAAATTTAAACATAAATATACATGTATTAAGTTTGATCAAATCATATACAAGAATAATTTTCAGTTTAATAAATAATGGTAAACTTGGAGACATATAGTGACTATTTGTTATTAACCGAGCTGCACGTTTCTGTAACATATAAATCTTGAACAGTTTTGTTTTGTAAGTATTACCCCAAATGATATTGCAATAATTTAAGTGGGGAAGAAGTGTTGCATTGTAAATATTCATTAATATGTTCCTTTGGAGAAAATTCTTTAGTTTAGATAAAACACCAATACTTCTAGAAATTTTAGAACAAACATAATCAATATGACATTTCCAATCTAGAGTTTCTTCAATATTAGTACCTAAAAAAATAACACTTAGTTCTCGTTCAATATTTACATTCGCTATTTTAACAGGATTGGTGACATTTGGAACTTTCTTTTTCTTTGTGTGAAAAATTACATATTTTGTTTTTTCATAATTCAAAAATAATTTATTACATTTAAACCAATCATTTAATTTTATTAACTCTTCATTTAAATTAGAAACTAAGCATGCTACATTAGAATGAGAATAATATACAACCGTATCATCAGCAAATAATGAAAACATAAGTAATTTGGATGAACTGATTATATCGTTAATATATATGATAAATAAAAGTTGTCCGAGAACCGATCCTTGCGGAACTCCAGTATTTACATCCATATAATCAGATTCGACACCATCGACCACCACATATTGTTTTCTATTAAACAAATAATCAGAAAACCACTGATGAGGTATACCGCGTATACCGTAATGGTACAGTTTTTTAAGTAAAATATGGTGGTCGATGGTGTCAAATGCCTTAGATAGATCCATAAACAATCCATAACAAAACATTCCATTATTAATTTCATGTAGAATATTTTTAGTAAAATTCACAATACTCAGATCAGTGCTATGGTTTTTACGAAAACCAAACTGTTCTGAAATAAGAACATTATATTTCAGTAAATAATCATATAACCTTTTATGCATTACTTTTTCCAACAGTTTTGCAAAAACAGAAAGCAAGGCTATGGGTCTATAATTTTCTATATTTTTAACATCATTTTTTTTGTATAAGGGTACAATTTTGGCAACTTTTAATTTATCTGGGACGATTCCACTATTTAAAGATTTATTAAATATGTCACACAATGGATTAACAAAAAAATGAATACAATTTTTAACAACTTTAGGTGAAATGCAGTCAGGTCCACTTGACTTATCTATTTTTAACAGAGAAGACAGTTTGATAATTTCATGAATACTTGTTGATTTAACATAAAATGAATTTAAATTTGGGTTAACAAGGTATTGTATTGTATTGTATTTATTTTCCAATCATATTAAAAAGACAAATAACATATGACATAAAACGAAATGAAACATAACAGAATTAAAAAAAAAAAATTACATGTGTATATAGATTGCTTAAAAATGATTGGCTGGATTGCCCGTTCAGTGTCATAAAAATATATGACACTGTTCTTCCTGGGGGTCCAGGAAATAAAAGAAAAAGGTATTTATCATGAGAGTAATTAGGTGTTTGAATCGATTTTGATAGTTGTTTACCTATGTCAATAAAAAATGTATTAAACTCTTTTGCAATATCTTTCCTACTACTCATTTTTATATTTCCGTGATACATATTTTGAGGTAGTTTATTCTGTTTCTTTTTGCTAAGTATCATATTGATCTGCGACCATGTTTTTTTCATATCATTCTTTAAGTTATAAAACAAAGACTCGTAATATTTCCTCTTTGACGCTCTTATGATATTTGTTAATTTATTGTTATAATCTAAATATTTTCTTTTATGATTGACACTAGGTCTTTTTAAGCTATTTTCATATAATCTATGTTTACGTTTCACTGAATTCAATATTACTTGCGTAATCCAAGGTTTCCGTAAATTACCATTGAGTTGTTTGACTAATTGAATAGGAAAACAGTTATTGTAATTGGAATAGAATTTTGTAAAGAAGATATCATAAGAGTCATTTGCACTTTCACAAGTATAGACCTCTGACCAGTCAATGGATGATAAACTTTCTTTAAACATTGACATTGATGAATCATTAATAATGCGTCTTTTTATGTATTTGTTACCATTCTTTACAATTCTTTCACTTGCAATTGAAAATACTGGAAAATGATCAGATAGATCACTATAAATGAGTCCTGTATATTTTTCTTCCTGTATGGTATTTGAAAATATGTTATCTATCAAGGATGCTTTATTTTCAGTAATGCGAGTTGGCTTTGTTATTAAGGGAAGTAAATTAAAAGAAAGCATCATATCTAAAAAGTCATTTGTTTTATTATGGATACCATAATTAAGCAAGTTTACGTTAAAGTCCCCTAAAATATATAAGTCTCTCTTCTCACTTTCCAGTATTTCAAGAACACTTTGTATTTTCTCATTGAAACAAGATACGTCAGAATCTGGTGGACGATAAACGCAACCAACAACTATAGGTTTAGGTTTCTTATTTCAACAAATATAGTTTCATAATTGCATTCAGAATAAGTAAATTCGGGTAGTACTTTGTAATTGAGATTATTTTTCAAATATAGTGCAACTCCGCCACCAGATTTTGAGGGTCTACACTTAGAAACAAGAAAATATCCGTCTAGGTTATACATATTAATATTTGTAGAAGAATTGAACCAAGTTTCAGTTATGGCAATGATATCAAATTCAAATTGAAGAGATGACAGAACAATCTGTAATTCATCAAAATGTTTCTTTAGGCTTCTAGCATTCAAATGGAGAAGTGACAGTTTAGAATTCAATTTACTAAATTTTAGACTGAATTCTTCACAAAATGTGTATTGACATGAATTTTTAAGTTCAAGATCTAAATCAAAAAGGCTATGCACATCATATTTATTCATACAAAATGGGTTTAATTTCAATTGTAATAACTTGTCAATATCAATTCTCCTATTTAAATGGAAAAAGTCGTACATAGTCCAATAAAATTCATTATCATCATCTATATGGTTGAATGGAAAAATATTAGAAATACATTGAGTGCATAACCATGACTGAGTTGGAAAGAAGGAAGAAGAGATACCACAATGAACACATACACTCATTCGCACATTCACAAATTAACTTTCAATAAGTAGTTAATAAAACATAAATACAGTAAAAATAACGAAGATAATTACAAAAAGATCTGTAATTAATCAAAGGGCATAGGCATAGAATATGAAAAATATCATATTTGCATGTAGTCAGTTTAATGTATATCAGTTTTCACAAGTTTGCCAGTTGGCGTCCCTTTTTTAAAAACCTATTCTGTAGTTCCTTGTAAAGTTGCGAACTTGTTAAAGATAAAGGTGAGTTCTGGTAATGCGATTGCATTGAGAAAGAAAAGGTGAGGAATGGATCAGAGGAAGTTGATCATTTAGCATATAGGTATTGGTGTGTACTGCAAGGTTCCGGAATCATCAAAATCATAATAAATTTGGCCCAGTCTTGGTAAAGTAACACAGAAATATGGGACTACACAAATGGTGTCGGGGCTAGCTTACCTTGATTTCCTTATCTTCCTATGCTCATTACTCAGCCAGTATACAGTTTCTTCCAAAATTGTTTTTGCACATGACATTTATTTGTAATCTTGACCATTCAGAGTGTAAGTTTCGTTTGATTCTGTGAGAATTCTTTTTTTTAAAAACCAGAACTCAAGTTTATCTTTAATTGAATTTGAGGGGTCCACAACTGTACAAGCATTGCTTTTTAGTCGACCCCTTTGTTCCCAATATATATTCCTACGTTGTTGTAAATGTTTATAATCGATTTGTAATGCTTTTTTGGAAACATAAATAAATTTGATGAAATTGGAATGATGAACATGCTATGCACTACACAGAGTTGGTAATACGTTCATCTTGATGCTCATACTGATTCATTTTCTATGTGCTTATTCTACGGTACTTATCTGTTGCAATTGTTACAAGAGTTATAACGAAACTTAAACAGGTATTTCCCAAATGTTATAGAAATAGGTTATATGTAATGTGATTTGTAAATCATTACTCGCTAGCTAATAAAGGGATGAAGGGTTGAATTTGAATGTAAATTCTTCCGATTAACTTTCATTTACAATGCAAAGATGTCTATTTTAAGTTATCCGCTACATTATTTTGTACAGTAAATGTTATGATTTTGTTTTCACTTGAGGCGGTGTAATGTTCCTCAATGACATAGATCTCTTTTTAGATTTTCTAACGTGTAATTTATATAGATTTATTCAAAATCTTTTGCCGAAGGAAGGACAAATATTTATCATCATATGTGTTCCTTCTTGCATTTAGGTTTAGTAACCTTTGAGTTTTCATACGCTATTCGAGATAAACACCTTATGCTCCTTACGCGTGTGAAATGACGTAGCTGACAAAAATAGTGAGCAGAGAGAACTGAGATATCATGAGACAAGAAGTAACTAGGCTGTTTAAAATAATTAAAGGTTATTTTATATGGATTGAAACAAGGTTTTGTGAAAGCCTGTTTACATTCAGGAGCGTACGCAAGAGGGGGGGTTGATCCCCCTTTCCCTTTTTTTAATGTGTGTGTTTTGTAGGAACCCCCCCCCCTTTGTTGTTTTTTGTAATAAAAACAAATAATACTAACCAACAAAAAAAAAAACTGCTGAATGGTTGACCCAAAAAAGCTGACCTTTACCCCCCCCCCCCCCCAACAAATTATGGGACCAAAACACACAAAACAAAAATGTGCTCTTCACCAATCTGCTTTTCTGCTTTTCTGCTTTCTTTTAGAGTAGTTTATTGGAATGTGACGTAAAGGGGGGGGGGTTAGTCCGCGGGTAAGGAGGCTTCAACCCCCAAAGCCCCCTCATCCCTCGACACGATAATGGATACACACATTCTTACAACATAGACAAATATATGCCATGTGCACAGTTTCAGAATTG